TGGGTAATTTTAACAGTTGGTAGGACCCTAGCCGCAAATGGAATGCAATCCACATTTCTGCCCAGGCTTATCTAGCCATGGATAGGGCGCAACACACATTTCTGTTCAGCTATCTTTTTGGGGCCCCCAGTCTGACGGTTGCCAAGCCAAGTTCTCAGGATGCAAAATGAGACGAAAAAGAAGGCTATCGCTCTCCTTAGGAGAGAAAGGATGGATAACCAATGTTTTTTTGTTTTTTTTTTGCCAATCCGAATTTGGAAAGGAAGGCAAAATGTGAAATCTACCTCCTTCTCTCCAGGGAACAGACAGAGGTCTGGGAGAGCTGATTTTGGTAAGAATTGTTACCCTTTGCTGGCCTCTGCCAGTTTTCCCAGGATGCCTTCTTTCTGCATGCTCCAGAGTGAGCAGGGGTGTCCCAGCAGGTCTTATCCTGGCCACCAGAGACTGTAGAGGAGGAAAAATAACTTTCTCTCTACCCTTTGTAGTCAGTGTCTGGCTGAGACCCCTTTTTCTCTAGGGCACCTAGTAAATTGATAAGATTATCTAAAATGTTTAAAAGTTCCCCACTGAAGCCACTGTAATTGAAGATTATCTTTGGTAAGATTAACCTACTTGCTCAGTCTTAAAACAAAAGTTTATTCACCTGAGGCCTCACATTGGCACTGGTTCAGTTTAAGTCAGACCTAGTCTGACCCCAGACCCAGTCCAATTTTTAAGTCAGACCCAGTCCATTTCCAACAGTTTTGGAACCAGTCTGGAATAAGAAATGTTCAAATAAAGTCCGAAAGCTCATAATGCAAAAGCTGCAGAACTAGGATCCAGGAAGCAAGTAGGACTTGCCTACCATCTCCACAGGCAGCAAAAAAGCAGCAAGCTCAAGGGGCTCAGCAGGTACCTAAGTTTGGTTTCTCATTGCTCTGGAACTGTTAAAAGACTGAGGCATATTAATTTTTTTTTTTAAGATTTTATTTATTTATTTGACAGAGAGAGAGAGAGATAGCGAGAGAGGGAACACAAGCAGGGGGAGTGGAAGAGGGAGAAGCAGGCTTCCCGTTGAGCAGGGAGCCGGATGTGGGGCTCGATCCCAGGACCCTGGGATCATGACCTGAGCCGAAGGCAGACACGTAATGACTGAGCCACCCAGGTGCCCCTAAATTTTTTTATTTTTATTTTATTTTATTTTTTATAAAGATTTTATTAATTTTGTCAGAGAGAGAGAGAGCACAAGCAGGGGGAGCGGCATGCAAAGGGAGAAGCAGGCTCACTGCTGAGCAGGGAGCCTGATGCGGGGCTCGATCCCAGGACTCTAGAATCATGACCCAAACCGAAGGCAGATGCTTAACTGACTGCGCCACCCAGGCATCCCATATTAAAATTTTTTGGAGTTTATTTGAACAAAAATCAATTTAAATTGGGCAGTGCCAAACTGGAAGTGGTTAGGAGCGCTCCCCTCACAGGAACTGGGGGAGAGAGTTTCATAGAGAAAACATGGAAGCAAAGTAGGGAAATTATCGACTGGCTATCACTCCAAGCCTAGTTGGCTGTTTGTGATTGGTTGTCCTTAGCATTTTGATTTTGTAACTTTGAGGCCTTTAGAGGCTTAGATTTTGGTTTGCTTTTGTAGGCCTCCACAGCATTAGAGCCTTCTCTCAGTTTAATGGCCTCCTAGTTTAATTTAATAGGATTTTGTATTTAAATCTCTTGCAGAATATTCATTTATTGGGTCAGTTTCCTATGTCAGCTAATTATACTGAGTGGATTCTCTATGACTGCAGCAGTGATGATGTTCTTTCCCAGGTCAATGGGGGTTTTTGCATTGCATTTGAGAATCAAGATTAGTTTGGGTTTGATAGTTCCTGTTTATCTTTTTTTTTTTTTTTTAAGATTTTATTCATTTATTTGACACACAGAGAGAGAGAGAGCACAAACAGGAGAAGCTGCAGGCAGAGGGAGAGGAAGAAGCAGGCTCCCCGCCGAGCGGGGAGCCCGATGCAGGACTCGATCCCAGGACCCCGGGATCATGACCTGAGCCGAAGGCAGACGCTTAACTGACGGAGCCACCCAGGCGCCCCTCCTGTTTATCTTATAAATGTTTTTTTTTAAAACAACACAAACATGAAAATAAAAAAATAAGAAATAAAGAAGTTCTTTCAGCTTTATTTTTAGTCCTGGGTCAATAGATATGCACCGGGCCAGAATCTGTCTTTCATTAGTTCGTTTGTTTTTTTCAACGCGCTGTTCGCAAAATAGTACAGTAATACACACTTGAAATGTTTGCATTCCTTCCTGGGGTTGGCTATGGAGATAGAACTTATAAGAACTAAAGCAAGTAGAAATTGCTTAATAGAATTCTCTGGATGTTCTAAGGCAAGAAGGAAGCTTTCTACAAGGGTAGGGGTTGAGCAGATGGGGGTGGGCAAGAGTTTTGAATTTGGTCTTAATGTTGGATTGGCGTTTCAGAATGACCTTACAGCAGAGTAGGTAGGAGCTTGAAAAGAGGGTTTGAGCTGAGGAAAGTGAGGAGGGAATAGTATGAGGGAAAGCATTTTGGTCACCCTTTGGGGCTCCTATGGGGACCAAAGGGTTACTTAGACTAATGTAAAAGTGTCAAAAGAGGAAGTGCCAGAAACTAAGGTTACACATGGGTTAGGTGGAGATCAGGGAAAATTTGGATGCCAAGCTCAAGATTTATTGCAGATATAAACTTTTGAATTTCTCTGTAGTAGTGGTGTGTTGTCCCTGAGAATTCACCTCATAGGCCTCCTATACCAGGGGAGCAGTTGTCCCAGGGCCCCAGCCTCTGCCCTCTGGGATCCACTGTGGCTCTTGCCTCCCATGGGCTGCTCCCCAGCAGTGACCGAGTGGGGATACTACAGCATGCTGTTTCAGGAGGCAAACTCTTTGTTGGTTGACCTTGGCTCAAGAACTCCCAGACAGGTTTGCTGAACCGTCCTTAGATGTTAAGGGGGTCTAGGATGCTTCCACCGAGTAATCGGGGGTCTGTCATCGCTCTTAACCTTGCCTCACCCCATCTGATATTTCCCTTTGCGTAGGCATTTCTATTAACAAAATTCTCATATATTTAATCTTGTCTTCTGCTTAGATGAAGCACAAGGACTAACTTGAAGTGCTTAGGGTAGCAACCTGGTTGGAGGTGTATGACTTGGGAGATTGTCTCAAAGATGTGTTTGTATGGCAGGCACACTGCTTTTTTTAGATCACGTGGATATTTGAAGAGACTTTGGTGGAACTGGTGGCGATTATAGAGGTCTATAGGACCCCCTCTAGGTTCCCCTGGATGTTGGTAGTGGGGAGTCACTTAAAATTTTTGACTTATTACAAAAATAGTGACACAGATTGTTCCATAGTTCAGTCGTAAACTATTATTATTACATAATAACACTCATTTTTGCCTCTAGTTCAGTGCTTCTGACTTAGAACTGATGTGTTAAGTGTTTGACAAAGACAGCTTAGAAGTTCTTTTCTCGGGGCGCCTGGATGGCTCAGTCGTTAAGCATCTGCCTTTGGCTCAGGTCATGATCCCAGGGTCCTGGGATCGAGCCCCGCGTCGGGCTCCCTGCTCTGCGGGAAGCCTGCTTCTCCCTCTCCCACTCCCCCTGCTTGTGTTCCCTCTCTCGCTGTGTCTCTCTCTGTCAAATAAATAAATAAAATCTTAAAAAAAAAAATTCTTTTCTCCATTATTTTCTTCCCTCGGTAACCTTTCAATACATTTTATCAGGAATTATTGTATGACCATACAATGTCTTATTTTACAGTGCCCCTTCTTTGTGTAATTTGTGAAAGAACTTTTATGACAGCCAGAAATTACTTTGAGTCAGTTTAGCACTAATAAAGACTTGCGCCTTGTTCGCCTGTTACTCAGCTTTGGGTTCTGCTTGGTCTTGCATTGAAATAATTCTATGTTTAGGACCTTGCCGTCGGTTGCCTTGGATCTCCCGGTGCTGTCACAAGTTTGGGCTGTGACTTTGCTGCAGGTGCTAACAGGAGGAGACAATAGGCTGCCAGGCAGAGGCAGAGGGAGGGAAAACTGGATTCCCACACATCCTGCGGCCTTGGCAAGTGGCACACATCGCATGAGTCTGTGAAAATAACTTCTACTGAGAGTATGTGCCATAAATAAACAAAGACTGCTCAGAAAGTTAACAGGAATGGAGGAATGAGGGAGGGAAAAGAGAGGACCCTGGGTAAGGACTGAAGGCCCTTGAAGGGCACTGGATTGGTAGCACTAAGTGGGTGGTGAGACACAGCAGAGGGTGGAGGACAGAGGAAGCCAGCTAGGGGACGCGCGAGCCCACAGGAATCAGCCCAGACTGTGAACAGGGTAAGTCGAAGGGAAGGGGAAAGTGGCCCGCGGTTTTGATTTGCATGCACAACTGGACAATTGAGAGCTCTTGGTATCCTTTAGGGAAAGCGTGCGTTTCTTCCTGAGTGACTGAGGGGTTATTTAACAAATGCAAAAGCAACCAGGCCTATTGTCTTTATATGCAAAACCATCCTATCATTCTTCTGTTGCTCTGGGAATATTGTAGAGAATCGATGCCACATTTACTCCTGAAGACTTCCACTCATCTGCTGATCCCCTAAGAACAAAGACACATTCCAAAATTGAAGAGTTTAATGGACATTTTCCATTGACCATCCCATGCTTTGATTTTGTTGGCATTCTTAATTTCTGTTTATAGTAAAATGTGAGTGTTTCCCTGGGTAGTAAAATGGATTTTTCTCTAGTGAATGTTCCTGTGCAGAAAAATGTGAACGAGGCTTTATAATTCATTGTTACGAGTAGTTTCATAAAGTTAATCATTATTTAAATTGAGGGTGGTAGAGATAGAAAAGTCGGAAGAACAGCTATTTGTGACATTTTTAGGAGACGAATTCTCATAATGAGTAAAACTGAGTGGATTTTACTGTTCTTTAAAAATGTATAACACATTTTCTACAAAGAAGGTAGTCAAAACCAGATATCATTTATCTTCTAGGTGGACGGAAAAGAGACCAAGAGAAAAAAATAAGTGGCTTAATGACCCAACTTTACCCAGAGAATGGAAAATAAAATGCAAGATTCCAAACCCTGCCCTTCCATTTCATCTTCATTTTTGAAAAATACAGGTGAGCATCATCATTTTGAAAATTGATCTAGTGACTATGAAAGCAAAGTGGCCAAGACAGCAGTACAGATCTGATTCAAAGATTGGTTTGGTTTTCTTGCAAATACAATTAGAATGGTAATGTTTTCTTATTCGTGAATGTGAAAATGTGTGACTTGATTTTTTTTAAAGCACATCTCTGTGCGGGGCGCCTGGGTGGCTCAGTTGTTAAGCGTCTGCCTTCGGCTCGGGTCATGGTCCCACAGTCCTGGGATCGAGCCCCACATCGGGCTCCCTGTTCCACGGGAAGCCTGCTTCTCCCTCTCCCACTTCCCCTGCTTGTGTTCCCTCTCTCGCTCTGTCTTTGTCAAATAAATAAATAAAATCTTAAAAAAAAAAAACCAACCTCTGTGAGTTGTGTAGGACATACGAAGATGGGCTACACAGAACTCGGTCTCCACAGGAGGGACAACTACGACAATAGCCACAGCTTAGGGAGTACTCATTCTGTGTGGGACATTATACTAACGTGTGCTCTCTAGGTTTTCCAGTGAATCCTTATCATAAGATTCATTAGGTAAGTATTTTCAGCATTTTATGACTATGGAAACGGAGGCATAGAGAGGTTAAGACATTGGCTGATGTTCATGTATCTAATATGACTAGTCCAGGTTTGTTATCTCTCTCCAAAGATAATTCTCTTAACCAGGGCAGATGACATAAGTGGTAAACTGAGTGGTGATAGGAATACACCAGCTCCTTTCACACATTTGATTCTCCTAAAGGATAGCCAGATTGTAGAGTAAGCCGAATCAAAATGCTCTGATTCGTACAAGGCTTTGGCATAGGAATAACTACTATGTGGCCTGGTCTTATGATATCTTCTGTCCATCAGCTACTTGCTTTCAGGAGAAGGACTTCACCAAGTCGGTAGTATCCAGGCAAGTAGTTCAGGTAATAAAGGACTGCGGACATTGAGATCAGGCAATAGCAGGAGAAACAGGGTGAAAAAGCACAGCTCTCAGTTCTGGGGTCTTAGAAATCCACAGGCAGCTACTGGAGGTCCAGGGCAGACAAATTCTGTGAGCTGTAGTGGTGGTCTCCAGACTTACTTGTTCACACATCACCTCAGCAAAAAATGCTTCTGTGTATGTGTATATATGTTTATAGATTACACACAGCAGTCCTCTCATAGCCATGGTTTTGCTTTCCGTGGCTTCAGTTTTCCTTGGTCAACTGCGGTCTAGAAGTAGATGATCGTTCTTCTGACATATCATCAGAAGGTCAGTAGGAGCCCAGGGCTCCCCCACAGTGCCCACATCATTAGTCTCATGTCATCTCATCACGCAGGCATTGTGTCATCTCGTCATCACAAGAAAGGTGAGGACAGCACGATACGGTATTTTGAGGAGAGAGACCACATTCACATAGCCTGTATTATAGTATATTGTTATAATTGTTGTTTTATTATTAGTTATTGTTGTTCATCTCTTACTGTGCCTAATTTATAAACTCTGTCATAGGTATGTATGTGTAGGACAAAACATTGCATAGATGTGTTTCATTACTACCCGCCGTTTCAGGCATCCACTGGGGGTCTTGGAATGCATTTCCCTCAGATAAGGGAGGATGACTGTACTACTGAATTAATATATTAAGAGATCTTCAATGAGAGTTTTATTTATTTTTTTTAAAGATTTATTTGTTTATTTGAGAGAGAGAGAGAGTGTGCACAAGCAGGGGGAGGGGCAGAAGGAGAGAGAGAATCTTTAAGCAGACTCCCCACTGAGCATGGAGCCCAACATGGGGCTTGATCCTGCGACCCATGAGATCATGACCTAAGCCGAAACCAAGAGTCAGACACTCAACCAACTTAGCCACCCAGGCGCCCCTCAATGAGACCTGAGACTTTTAAACATACATCGGGTTTAGTAAAATTTTGCAAAGTAATGGACTGAATGTTGTCTCATGGTTTCTTAAAAAATTTTAATTCCAGTATACTTAACATACAACATTATATTAGTTTCAGGTGTACAATATAGTGATCTAACACTTTCATACATCACCCTGTGCTCATCACGATGAGTGCACACCTTAATCTCCATCACCTGTTTCACCCATCCCCGCAACCGCCTCCGCTCTGATAACCATCAGTTTGTTCTCTGTAGTTAAGAGTCTGTTTCTTAGTTTCTCTCTCTCTTTCTCCCTCTCTCTCTCTGCCCCCTCTTTTTTCTTTGCTCGTTTTGTTTTGTTTCTTTAATTCCACATATGAGTGAAGTCATACGGTATTTGTCTTTCTCTGACTGACTTATTTCACTTAGCATAATACTCTCTAGTACTAGTCATATCAATGTAAATGGCAAGACTTCATTCTTTTATTATGGCTGAATAATACTCTATTATACACACAAACACACACCCTACATCTTCTTTATCAATTCATCAGTCAATGGACACTTGTCTGCTTCCTCATAAAACCGTGAGGTTCATAATATTACTGAAAAATATGGCAGTGGTTTGTTTTCATAGTCTGGATGTTTAGTTTTAAAATATTTTGCGAGGGACGCCTGGGTGGCTCAGTCGGTTAAGCGTCTGCCTTCGGCTCAGGTCATGATCCCAGGGTCCTGGGATCGAGTCCCGCATCGGGCTCCCTGCTCCACGGGGAGCCTGCTTCTCCCTCTGCCTCTGTCTCTCTCTCTGTCTCTCATGAATACATAAATAAAATCTTTAAAAAAAAAAAAATTTTGCGAATTTTGATGACTTCGTGCTACCATTAACCAATTTCTAAGATGGAAATAGGCTTTTGTGCTGAGATTGATGACTAACAGTACCGTATGTAGGGAGTCTTCTTAATTTCAGTGTTGTGTGCCTGATTTCTCCTTGGATCTGATTATATCAGTATTTTTTTTCAAGTACTGCATATCATAACTGATTGGTAGATTATAATATTAATATCAAAACCTATTGGTGGGTTATAATATTAATAGTAACTAATACCACTTTTTAATAAAATAGAAGACAAAATGTTAGAGTATGTTATTATTAAGTATTGTTTTGAGAAACTCTTCTTTCAGTTATATACCCATATCTCTGTATTTGTATATATTTACACATCTATATATACACATCTAAATACTGAATTATGACATGAAATGTGGCAGTCAGACGCTTTTGAAAGTATTGAATTACATCATTATTGTTTTTACTCAGGACTTGTCGTTGTTCAAGAGGTTATAATAGGAGAAGGAGAAACGTAAACTCTATTTTCTTGCTTTTCTCTTGTGCTTGCATTATTTGCATTAGTGTTAGTCCTTGATTCTTTTACACAGAGCTTTTTAAGCCATTCATGTGTTGTGTGAGGGTTCATTTAGTTACAAGTAGAGAGTATAATGTGTAAATTCACTTAGCCAGGTACGTATCAACTGCAACAGAACAGAAGTATTCCGGGTGCCTGACAAACCCTTTGAATATAACTCTTTTCCCTCAGGAGATTTCCAGTAACATACTTGGCTCATGACCTTCAGCTATCCCGACTGAGAGAGAGTACCCCTGACAATCTTTATATGACCTACTGGCAAAGCTTAATTTCTTTCTTACTATTTTAGACAAAAAATACATTGGAATTCAAGTGCTGATACTATCATCTTGCACCCCAGTGGACTGTTTTGGGTCATGCCCGGGGGGGCATGGGCCCTGCTTTCTAGACACGTTCTCTAGTTGCAGCCACCCCTGCCTTCTGTTTTGACGTCCTGTCACACCATTGTACCTGCTCTAGCCTGACCACACTGAACACACCAAACAAGTTCCTGTCTCAGGCCATTGGAACAAGAGCTTCTCACTATCCCACCTGACCCCTATGAGTCTAGATTTTGTCGTTATGCAGCATTTGGCTCAAAAATACCTTCTTGAGGAGGACCTTCCTGATTATTGTATTTCATATAGCCCCCTCCTCTTTCCACAGCCCCCAGTTACTCTCTATTCCATTATTCTCTTTTATTTATTTTCACAAAAGTTATCACTCTCTGTTTAATCCCACCCCCACACTCCAAACCCCTCTAGAATGAGAACTTATCTCTACATTATACCCCAATATCCCCAGGATGTTTTGGGGGCTGGTAAATATTTCTGGAGAAATTCAACAAATGACTTAACATTTCTCCTGTCCCTCTGCCTCACTTGAGCCAGTGCCTTTGGACCTAGTTTTCTCATTTTTCTCTGAAACCAGTTCCTCCTCATGGTATCAGTTGGCAGAGACACTGTATTTGTAACCTACAACCACCCACTTGTAGGGTAAGCCAAATGCTGTGAGAACTCCCTGGAAGAAATGCTCATGACCAGGGGTTGGGTAGGGATGGTAGTGGTAGTCCTGGGAGTTGGGTCTGGCCTGGCTCTGACATTATTCAGTTGTGCAACCTGGATCAGGGTCTGACAAACTATGGCTCATAGGCCCAGTTCAGGCCCCCACCAGTTTTTATAAATAAAGTTTTATTGGAACACAGACATGCTCGTTTGTTGAAATATTGCCTTTCACATGACAGTGGCAGATGAGACCATATAGCCCACAAAGCCTAAAATGTTTACTGGGAAAGTTTGCTGACCCCTGGGCTGGAGAATGTCACTTAACTTCTCCAGGCATTGATTTTGTCTTCATAAAATGAGTTGAATGGACTCAGTGGTGTCTGAGGTCCTTCTCAGAGCTCACATCTGCATTTCCTGGAATCCAAGAGACTATGTTTGGAAACTCATAGTGATATGGATTTAAGGTTACCCTCATTGTCTTCTTAGAAAACATGATTTCAAGAAGCTATGCTTTCATTAAATGGACATAAGTGTTTTACCGCATGTATCTTAAAGACGTATGGAACATTCCAGGTTGAGTTAATTTCTCTGGTTTGGTGTTTAAGTGCTTGGAGCAGCAGACTTACTATGCTGCTTAGTTCCTTCCCACTGCTTTTACCAAGGGCTTTGCTAAAGTGAAAATCAAGAGTTTGTAAAGAAATTCTGAAAGGTGGGTTTGCTTAT